TGAAAAAAATAGTCAGGGGAATGTGTTTGGCCACTTGGGTCCGCTTGAGGCCATGCTTTCGACGACTTGTCTTTGTCCCTGAGGTTGGGGGGTGGGCGTGTCCCTCACAGGAGGAACCATCACACATAGCTTGGAAAAGAATAGTCCGGGGACGACGTCTCGCCCCACCTGGGGCCGTCTTTTCATGTTTCGATGGTCTGTCCCTCCACAGGAGGAAACATAACAAGCAGCCTGAAAAATAATAGTCCGGGGACGCTGTTTCGCCCCACTTGGGGCCGCTTGTGCCATGCTTCGACGACTTGTCACTTGTCCTTAGGTGGGGCGTGTCCCTCCACAGGAGGAACCATCACACATAGCTTGGAAAAGAATAGTCCGGGGACGACGTCTCGCCCCATCTGGGGCCGTCTTTTCATGTTTCGATGATCTGTCCCTCCACAGGAGGAAACATAACAAGCAGCCTGAAAAAAATAGTCAGGGGATGATGTCTCGCCCCACTTGGGGCCGCTTGAGCCATGCTTCGACGACTTGTCACTTGTCCTTAGGTGGGGCGTGTCCCTCCACAGGAGGAACCATCACACATAGCTTGGAAAAGAACAGTCCGGGGACGACGTCTCGCCCCACCTGGGGCCGTCTTTTCATGTTTCGATGATCTGTCCTTCACACAGGAGGAAATATAACAAGCAGCCTGAAAAAAAATTAATCTGGGGACGCTGTTTCGCCCCACTTGGGGCCGCTTGTGCCATGCTTCGACGACTTGTCACTTGTCCTTAGGTGGGGCGTGTCCCTCCACAGGAGGAACCATCACACATAGCTTGGAAAAGAATAGTCCGGGGACGACGTCTCGCCACACCTGGGGCCGTCTTTTCATGTTTCGATGATCTGACCCTCCACAGGAGGAAACATAAGTCCGGGGACGCTGTTTCGCCCCACTTGGGGCCGCTTCTGCCATGCTTCGACGACTTGTCACTTGTCCTCAGGTGGGGCGTGTCCCTCCACAGGAGGAACCATCACACATAGCTTGGAAAAGAATAGTCCGGGGACGATGTCTCGCCCCACCTGGGGCCGTCTTTTCATGTTTCGATGATCTGTCCCTCCACAGGAGGAAACATAACAAGCAGCCTGAAAAAAAATAGTCAGGGGACGATGTCTCGCCCCACTTGGGGCCGCTTGTGCCATGCTTCGACGACTTGTCACTTGTCCTTAGGTGGGGCGTGCCCCTCCACAGGAGGAACCATCACACATAGCTTGGAAAAGAATAGTCCGGGGACGACGTCTCGCCCCACCTGGGGCCGTCTTTCATGTTTCGATGATCTGTCCCTCCACAGGAAAACATAACAAGCAGCCTGAAAAAAATAGTCCGGGGACGCTGTTTCGCCCCACTTGGGGCCGCTTGTGCCATGCTTCGACGACTTGTCACTTGTCCTTAGGTAGGGCTTGTCCCTCCACAGGAGGAACCATCACACATAGCTTGGAAAGAATAGTCCGGGGACGACGTCTCGCCCCACCTGGGGCCGTCTTTTCATGTTTCGATGGTCTGTCCCTCCACAGGAGGAAACATAACAAGCAGCCTGAAAAAAAGTAATCCGGGGACGCTGTTTCGCCCCACTTGGGGCCGCTTGTGCCATGCTTCGACGACTTGTCACTTGTCCTTAGGTGGGGCGTGTCCCTCCGCAGGAGGAACCATCACACATAGCTTGGAAAAGAATAGTCCGGGTACGACGTCTCGCCCCACCTGGGGCCGTCTTTTCATGTTTCGATGGTCTGTCCCTCCACAGGAGGAAACATAACAAGCAGCCTGAAAAATAATAGTCCGGGGACGCTGTTTCGCCCCACTTGGGGCCGCTTGTGCCATGCTTCGACGACTTGTCACTTGTCCTTAGGTGGGGCGTGTCCCTCCGCAGGAGGAACCATCACACATAGCTTGGAAAAGAATAGTCCGGGGACGACGTCTCGCCCCACCAGGGGCCGTCTTTTCATGTTTCGATGATCTGTCCCTCCACAGGAGGAAACATAACAAGCAGCCTGGAAAAAAATAGTCAGGGGACGTTGTTTCGCCCCACTTGGGGCCGCTTGTGCCATGCTTCGACGACTTGTCACTTGTCCTTAGGTGGGGCGTGTCCCTCCACAGGAGGAACCATCACACATAGCTTGGAAAAGAATAGTCCGGGGACGACGTCTCGCCCCACCTGGGGCCGTCTTTTCATGTTTCGATGATCTGTCCCTCCACAGGAGGAAACATAACAAGCAGCCTGAAAAAAATAGTCAGGGGCGCTGTTTCGCCCCACTTGTTTCGCCCCACTTGGGGCCGCTTGTGCCATGCTTCGACGACTTGTCACTTGTCCTTAGGTGGGGCGTGTCCCTCCACAGGAGGAACCATCACACATAGCTTGGAAAAGAATAGTCCAGGGACGACGTCTCGCCCCACCTGGGGCCGTCTTTTCATGTTTCGATGATCTGTCCCTCCACAGGAGGAAACATAACAAGCAGCCTGAAAAAAATAGTCCGGGGACGCTGTTTCGCCCCACTTGGGGCCGCTTGTGCCATGCTTCGACGACTTGTCACTTGTCCTCCGAGCCCCGCCTGTAGCTGGGACGTGCCCGGCCCGAGGCTGGCCTCCAGGGCGGCCGACGAGAGGCCCCTTAATAGGGGGCCCCAGAGGGCAGGTCGACGGGGGGACCGTCCCGGGTCGACGGGGGGACCGTCCCAGGCTCAGGAGGGGAAAACACACACACACACACAGACACAATGAATCGTCGATCCCCAGAAAATATGGGAAAATATGGGAAGTGGGGGGGAAGACGAAAACCCAGAAAATATGGGAAAATATGGGGAATAGTTTTATTTGTGTGTATTTATTTGTGTGTCCCAGGGCCCCTTCACAGGCCTCGAGCAGGCGAGGGTCGCCGAAGAAGCAGGAGAAAACACGCCGCAGGCGTACGCGCCGGTCATTGAAAGTAGGTGTTTCTGGATTCCCAGATCCAAGTCTGCGTCGAGCGCCTTCCTGCTTCAAGAGTCGGCACGCTGTTGCTGTGTTTTGTTGTTCTCTGGGAGGGCCTGGACCTGGACCCAATCCACTATATCCGCCTTCCTACTTCATGTTTCTACCTACTTCTTCCGACCGACGGGTACACGTTGTTCATTTCTGAGTCTTCGAAAGTTCCTTGATTTCCTGGGGGGCCAAGAACCTCTCAGTTCTAACTGCTCCATCCTGGGCCTCCTCCTGGCCACCTAGGGGGCCAGAAACCATCAGAAACGAGCACAGTTATAAAAATGAGCGCGATGAGAAATGAACGACGTGTACTCACACCAGAGAGAAACACCAATCGGTGGGTGGTTTGAGGAATCGTGGGGTGGGAACGGGGGCACGGCGAGCCCAGGCAGTCCAGCGCCCAGCGAAGCGCAGCACGGTGGACCCGAGTCGTGCTCGCCCGCCTCCGAAGGGCCCTTGCCGAGCCCGTCCCGGCCTGAGACACCCGCCCCGAACAACAGACCGCACCAGAGTCTACACCAGAGAAAAACCCAATCAGTGGATGGTTTGATCGATAAGGAGATCGACCGGGAACCCGGGAACCCGGAACCCACCGAAATCGGCCCGGAACCAAAGCCAGGATCTTGGAAGCCCGGAACCGGCAGGCCCAGGAATCCAGCCAGCTACCAAAATCGGCGGGAATTGTTTGCCAAATCTTCGAACTTCCGCTAGGACACTTCCAGTGCAAGCACTGATTAGGGAATCTTTTGGCGCTCCGCGCGGATTTCTTGGATCCGCGCTGGGCCCCCCTGGGGCGGCGCTTCTGGCGCCGCCCCTGGCGCGCTCCGCAGCCCCGGGGAGGGGGGTCAGGCGCAGATCCAAGAAATTCGCGCAGACCGTCGGAAGTATATGTTTATGCCGTTGTTTCTTCCTTCCTCTAGATCGACAACAGAGCTGGTGTACCGAAACATTGTGCTTCGTCGAGTCTGCGAAAAGACCCCGAACGTTGGTCGATCTACGAAACATCCTACGCATGCCTAGCAGATTCGACAAGCAGGCTTGGGATGCATCGATTCTAGAGTTGGCCCCCCACTCGAAGGCCATGCTGGAAGTGCGAAGCCCAGACCACGCTCCCGAGGCCTGTGTAAGAGCCGCGCAAGACAGGCAGGAGCGCCCTCGAGCGCCCGAAACACCTGGCTCCGGGACTTTCACCGAGTACGGTGGGGGCGTTGCTTAAGGAACACGCCCAGGAGACTGCAGGCCCTGGAGGATTCCTTATCTGATGAGGGCGGCGGTGATATCCATGGCCTGTTCACGATTGGAATTCCGCCAGCTTCCAGACCCTGGCTTCCTTATCCAACGATTCCTTATCCAATGCCCCCACCGTATTTGTTGTGCTCGACACGGAGAGCACAAAGGGACATGAGGACGCTCCGCTCACTGCCCACGGCACGGCAGCGGCTGTTGTGAGCAGCAGCAGGGGCAGCTGAGAATCCTGTAGGGGTAGGGGATGCGTGTGTGGGGGAGGGGAGGGGGGCGGGAAGTGTGCGTATTTGCTCGATGCGCGCCTGAATCAGAGGCGACGATAGGGGCGAATAGCCCAGGGGAGAGCAATACATGTATCCAGGGGCGCCGATGATCTATGTCTTCGACAAGGCTCCCAGGCGAATACGTGTAATGCCCGCCCCTGGACTATTCGCCCTTTACCGTCGCCGCCGACTGAATTGGGGGATGGGCATTTTGAGAGACAGCCTTCATGCATTCTTGTTTTTTTCAGTGGCACGCTGCATGTTCCCCCATGCGTCGGCGTGCCAAGGCTTGGAGCAGAAGCAGCCAGAAACGCACACCTTCCCGCTGCTGCGATAAGACAAAGGGCATGTTCGTACAAAGGTGCGGCCTCTGACGAGAAGCACTGGCGCGCGCCCTAATTGTTCGCACCCTTCTGAGCAGGAGTGACGAAGACACTCGCGTGGGCGTGATTTGAGCGGGATCAGGCCTGTGGCGCCTCGACGCAGCAATAGAGCCACAACAGGACCGCTATTGGCTCCTCCAGCCCAACGACCGCTACAATTTGACCATGTTCGCCTCGCCTCCGAAGCACCATCGGCTCTTCTATTTCAGCGAGTTCGAAGACTCGGTCCGTCTAGGACAGCCGTCTTTGTGCCTCGTCTTGACGCGGTTTAGGGCACAGGTTTTGCATTGGCAGGGGGCGTACCAGTTAGACATTCGTTTGATAGCATTGGTGTTTGCATGGAGGGAGGGGGAAAGAGGAGCATGGAGGATTGAGGAAGAGAAGGGAGGAGGAAAGAGGAGGAGGGAGGGAGAATCATTCCTCTCCCGCCGCGCCCAAGACATCTTCCTGACCCAGCCCTTCAAGCTGCAGGTCTACGTGGACGGCGTGCTGCTCGGGGACGAGTACGATACCACAATCGCATGCGCGTCGTGCGACTCGCCGGCCCCGGCACCCGAGGACGCGGCCCTCTCTGCATAGTTGGCACGCTGCCTCGCCAAAGTACGCAATGGTGTGCCATGTTGCGTGGCGCACTTACATGCTGCGCTGTGCAAGTTCATAACGTGCGTTCCTATGTTGCGCGCTGAGTTATCGACATGTGTTCGGGCACGCAATGATACGATATCATAATCAAGTGGACGCGATGCTTTGCCACGCAACGTAGCCCTATGATGTTCCATACTGTGCTGTGCACTCGTGCTGCGATGTGTGTTGCTACGCTGTGGTTAGCTACGCGGTGCAGCGACATGACTTGCCATAGTGGATTGTGCACTGGTATGTGTTGCCACGCTACGCGATGATACGCAGTGCGATGCGATGGTTTGCCCAGCTCATTTGAGCCACGCAGTGATACACCATCCAACACGTTGCACTGCCAAACATCAAGCGACAGAGCTCTGCGCACAATCCCCTACATTGCACCGTGCGCAGTTGACACGACACCCTTGCAGATATGGGCTTCACTTCACGAGCAAAGTTTCGAGTGGCATCACGGAAATTCTCTCACGTGTTCCTGGTCCATGTTGCGATGTCCACAGTAGGCATCACCGTTCTGATTAGGACCATGTGATGCGTACGCCCAAGAGGACATGACATTTGGTGGAACAGTTGCCCCTACTGTTCCATATCCCTGGTATACCATCAGCCCTCATCTGGCCCATCCTGCACAGTACTCGGTATCCCGTCTAGCCGCCCACACACCTTTCGTGCTGCATGCGCGCACACATACACATGTTCTGAACTCATGCTCCCAAAACAGTGGTTGTACTTAGGGCTTCTTACATCGGGATGCATGCCAGCAAGTAGCCCCCCCTAGGGTTTCACCACGTTCTCCTCCGCGGGCGCCGTGTGAGCGCCTCTTTGCCGGTGGCGTCCGGCGAGGTCTCGCTTGGTGCCCGCCCTGGGGCGCCTCGTGGGGATCCGCACTCTACCTGCAAGGAGGAAAGACTGGTCTACTCTGTAAGAACGGTTTTTTGAAGGCAGATCTGCCTTCACAAAACCGTTCTTACTGAGTAGACCAGTCTTTCCTCCTTGCAGGTAGAGTGCGAATCCAGAGCCAATCTAGGCTCAAGCCTGCTGAGCCGCTGACTGCGGCGAAAGCTAGCACCAGCCAAGAGAAGCAGCGAACCTGAAAAAAAGTGGGCTTGGTGCCCGCCCTGGGGCGCCTCGTGGGGATCCCCCGAGGTTTCGCCTCGTGGCCACCCGTGGGCGCCTCGTGGGCTCCTCGCGCGCTCGGTGGTGTGCGCCGAGGCTTCGCCCAGTGACCGCTCGTGGGCGGCCGCGGGCGCCTCGTGGGCGCCCCGTTGGGCGCCTCGTGCGCTGGGCGGGTGCCCGCCCGAGGGCGCCCCGCGGGCGCCCCGCGGGGGCCTCGTGCCATGGTCGGATCCGCCGAGGTTTCGCCCGGTGCCCGCCTCGTGGGCGCCTCGTGGGCGCCTCGTCGGTGCCTCGTGCGCGCCCCGTTCCCCGGGTGGGCCCGCTGAGGTTTTGCTACCTTCGCGCTCGTGCCCGCCCGGGGGCGTCTCCTGGGCGCAACACGGCCTACACAGCACAGCTTGCACCGCACCACAGCGCTTACATCACATAGCTCACACCACTTCGCTTACATCACATAGCTTACACCGCATAGCGTTCACATCCTAGCTTACATCACCTAGATTCCACAGCATAGCTTCGACATCCAGCTCACACCACGTAGCCTACACCAGCTTACACCACATATCTTACACCGCATAGTTACCACATCCACCATGCAATAACGCACTGTGTTGGACCCGCGCTGCCTGTCATGTGTATTTACATGTTTATGTGAAAGTATGAATGGATGCACCCACAAGTGCACACATGATGAATGCCTCAATATGATCCAGGGTCCACCACCACCCATCCCACCCCCTCATGCTGATGCCATCGCCCCCGCCCACCCACCCCGCGCCGCCCCCACCTCGCGATGCCCCCCCCTCCACCCCGTGGGCGTGGCGTGGTGGGGTCTCTTCCCATCTGGGCGTGCGGTGGTGGGCATGGGGTCTGGCCCTCCACCCCCCCCTCAGGGAGGAGGAGGAGGAGGAGAAGGAGGAGGAGGCGAGGAGGAGGAGGAGGAGAAAAAGGAGGAGGAGGAGGAGGAGAAGGAGAAGGAGGAGGACGACGACGACGACATCAGCGTCGGCATCGGCGTCGGCATCGGCACATGCATCGCCGTCCTAGGCGTAAAACTGCTACACTTGACGGAGGGGAGGTGCCAATCCGCAATCGTGTTTTACAGCCGTAATCGGTTCGGGCTGGCCTCGTCCGATGAAGTCAAGTGCGCTTTCAATCTGGCGTTGTCGTCGTTGTCGTCGGCGTCGTCGTCGCCCATCTCCCCTTCCCATTGGGGGGGGTCCCAAGGGACCCTGAGACCCATCCCATCTGGGGGAAGGGGGGGCCCGTGGGCCCGGAGCCCGGGATCACATGTACCCCAAACGCGAGACACACATACACACTCACACACACACACACTCTCACACACACGCACAGATCAATGTGTGTGCGTATGTGCGAATGTGTTAAATCCACTCGCGTATATGTCTATGCAGATACATATACAAGCATGTGTACATATACGATAAACATGCACATAAAATACATGTGTGGGTCTGTGTGTGAGCGGGTTGTGTCCCCGGATGCGCACTAGCAACGCCTCTGTTGACGCATACATCGTTATGCGATCGGTTGCTTTGACGACACTGGCACCAAGCTCGAACAAGAGTTGCGGCCAAGAGCACTCATGCAGATCGTGATTGCGAGGCGCACAGGAGCAAGAATTGGCATGAGCACGCTCGGAATAGAGGCATGGCCCGTGAAGCATTCAGAGCAAAAAAAGTTCTGCGAGTCGGAGCCCGAGTCGGAGCCCGAGTCGGAGCCCGAGTCGGAGCCCGAGTCGGAGCCGGAGTCGGAGTCGGAGCCGGAGTCGGAGCCGGAGTCGGAGTCGGAGCCGGAGTCGGAGTCGGAGCCGGAGTCGGAGTCGGAGCCGGAGTCGCCACAGGGTTGCGTTCGCCCAGAGAACGTTTCGGGGCTCCGCCGATCTACCCGGCCCCCGCGAGGCCCGACCTCTCAGTCTCTCGTTTTTGTTTTCTGGCATGCCCCGTGCGCGTCAGGTTGTTGCCGCCCTGCTCAGGGCTGGTCAACGCCCAGCTTCTTGCGAGTCGAGCCCGATGCCAGGCCACAACCTCCGCAGTGCAGGCGGCCACCAGTAGCGCAGAGAGGGGGCATTCAAGCCAGGACGCCTGGAATCCTCACCGCCTCGCCGTAGCGTGACCACCCTGCGCTGGCCCTCCGAGCGAGCATCGATCGCCTCATTCGTCATGGGTGCCGACGTGTTGGCTCCAGAGCGCATTCAGAACTTCAGCAGGCCCCAGGGGCATCTGGCGAGCGGGCGCGAGGCTGAACGATGCGCGTCTGGAGGCGGTCGCGTCTTGTCAAAGACAGCGTCAAGGGGGGATAGGCTCAGGGGCGGATGCATCGACCCCCGATCGCCCATTCATCGCCGATGGGCCCGAGCCATGATCTCCTGACCATCACTCGCTCGATCTGGCACGAGAATGCAAGCCAGTCGGTACGACAACATGCCAGTACATCTTCTGGGAGGAGTGCGGGGGCGAATAAATGTATATACAATGTGTATATATAGAGAGAGAGTAAAAAAGAGAGAGAGAGAGAGAGAGATGCTGCCCTTCAAGACCATACAGTTTTGAGAACCCCGCCCCCCCCTCCGTTGTCCCTCGTCTTGGACCTCCCGGCCGGCCGGGCCGCGGGCCGCGGCCCGGGGGGCGGCCCGCCCTCCGCTCCCCAGCTTGGCACCTCCGCGGGGGGCGCGGCGGTGATCGCGCCTGCGCGGCCCAGGGCTGGCAGGGCGCTCCGCGGCGCAGAGCGCAGCTCGACGGCACGCAGGGGCGACCATGCGCCGGACTTCGAGGAAGAAAGAACGGCACGAGGCATGAACTGTTCGCGCTCCGCGCGGAGCGCCAAGCGGGACGGTGCATGCAGTTCTGGCTTCTCCCAGGGATGGCCTCTGTCGTGGGTGTACTTCGGCGACTGCAAATCAGCCACGCGCAGAAGGGGGTAGGAGGAGGGGGGGGAGAGGATCATCCGAAGCACCCTGCTTCTGAGGAGCCGCGGGCCTTACTTGTAAATGTACGACATGCGCCTTCTAAGAAGCAGTATCCTTTGAGAAGCCTTCCCCCCTCCCCCTACCCCCTTGAGCGCGCCCGCAATTTTGGCGCGGGTACACTTCGGCAGCTAAAGAGGGTGTGGTTACGCCAGGGTGTGGTTTACGATCTGCGTCGTTGGGGCTTGGGGGGCACCACGTTGCCCTCGTTGGGCCTCCTCGGGGCGCGGCGGAGAATTCTGTCGAGGTCACTGCCCGCGACCCAGAGTGCTGGTTGCAAACCGCACCCTGTGCAAACCACACCCTCTGGAGCCGCCGAACACTGGGGGCCCCCAGATGGCGTGTAGCCGAGCGGTGTCGGGGAAGCGTAGGGCTCGAGTTCACAAAAACTCGGGTTTGCCGGCGCCCTTTGGCGGGCCCGTCCAGGATTTTGACGGTCTGCTTCTCTTGGGACGTCTGCAGCGAGAGCTCGCGTCAGACTTCAGATTGGCTCTCGTCAGCTTCCTGACGGCCCCGCCAGGCCGGCCCGAGTCCCCTGAGCCCGAGTCCTGCATCTCCCCGACAGTAACGCACCGTCACTATCTCTGGCCAAGGTCACGAAGAGCTGGTGATCTACGCCCTCCCAGCCTCCACCGCAAGGCTCGATACAGTGTAAGTAAAACGCAGAGCCGCTTCTTCAGTTAACGAAATTTGCTTTGGAATTCGTCATTACAGCACATGAATTTGAAAGTATTCCGAGAAAATGTGAAGGTACGCTGTCTTCAGTGTACGATCATGGGCTTCTTGGTGATCGCGGCCATCCAGCTTTCGCGCCGACGGCCCCCCACCTGGAGTAGATCTTGGCTGTTGCTGATGTCTTTTTCAGCAGGTGGAGTCTCCCCCATAGAGCGCACTGTTGCAAGCAGTCGCGTAAAGCAGAGACTGATCCACTGACAGATACAATTCATCTTCCATCCATTGGCATCGAGCTCATGCGAAGCAGCAAGCTCCTCCCCTTTCCCCCCCCTTCCGCCCAATGTCGAAACGCCGAATAAGAAAACGCTCACATGGTCGAATACAGTGGAAACCCATGCCAAGAAACGCCCTGCTTGCTTCTAGGGTGCCCTGGGTTTCTTGGGTTTCGATGGTTTCGCCATGGAAAGCGCGACGCTCCCACACCAAAAGTCAGTGGACGTCCTGGGGTCTCAGGGTTGGATTTCTTGTGGGAAGTTTCTTCTGGACTGGCCTCCACTGCAGAAACCAGAGGCCCTTGGCCTATGGTAGTGGCTTGCTGGGCGCGGGAGGCGCCTCGCACAGCTGGATGGCCCCCCACGCTCCGATCCCGTGCCACATCCGATTCGCCAGCTGTGGCCGCAGCTTCAATTCGCCTCGGCTCGGTTCGATTCACTGGCCTCAAGTCGGGCCTGTCCCCCTACAGGGGGATCCACTGGCCTTCAAAAAATACTCACAAATTAGTCTGGGGACTATTGTTTTGCATTTGTTTGTTACCTTTTGGGGGGTATGTTTGGGGGCATGTTTTAGTTTTCGTCGACAATGACCCTGTTCGGGGACAGGCCCGACTTAACGCTGGCTCTGGTTGGCTCACCGGTCCGATCTCGATTCGGCACGGCCCGCCGGCGCTCCGACACCGCTCGCGGTCCGCTTCGGGCCCGCGGCTCGGCCCACCTCGGGCCCGCCGGCAGAGCACCACCAGCCCACCGGG